CGATAGTATAAATAAGTACTAAAGAAAGCTAAGCTTTTCGCAGCAGATCAAGGTTGAGGAAGAGATAAGAGATGCTGAAGCTTTGCTCTTGTAATGTGACGGACCAAGTTCAGGCGTCGGTTCAATGCCGATTACCCGGTTCCCCCGGTCCGTTCGCATTTCGCAGGCAGGCCCCGGTCTCTGTCTCTTGTCCTCTTCCGAGTAGATTCAAGTTGACGCCGGTTCAAGCTGTTCTGTCGAGCCAGAAACCATTTGTGGCTGAGGTCGTTGAATCCGGGTCGGGCACTTTGGCTGACCGGCTCCGGTTGGGTAGCTTGGCGGAAGATGGATTGTCTTTTAAAGAAAAGTATATCGTGAGGTGCTATGAAGTTGGAATCAACAAAACCGCCACTATTGAGACCCTTGCTAATCTCTTGCAGGTACATTTCCCCCCCATTTGTTTCGAAATTTGGTTTTCTATTTTCAAGTTGATTTTATTTTTTTGAAACTGTTACGAAACTTCAAGTTTTTCTGGGTTCTTTTAATTATTAATGTTTTTTTTAATGTTGTTGGGTTCCGCATACATTGAAGCTTTCTCAGTGTAATATGGAAGTATGATCATTCTTTTTTAAGTTAATTACTTCATTTTTCTAAAGAAATTGATTCAATTAAAGCTAAAATTGAATGCTGGAGTTAGTGAAGTAATAAATCTCTTTGACTATATTGTTTAATAACAATTTTGTTTTTTTTAAAAAAAAAAACAATGAAAACCATATAGATTTCAGTTCAAAATGAAAATTTTTCATGAGAATGTTAAAACTTTTAAAATGATTAGAATCTATACTATATATAAAGATCTTCAATTGAGTTGTTGTTACAAGTGAGTGTATCACAGTCTAGTTTTTTTCTTAATATATATATATATATATATATATATATATAACCGATCTATTTAGCTTTGATGTTAGTTTCTATTTTCTCCTGTTTTCAACATTTTCCGAAACTTCGTTCTAGGAACTCTATCTTAGTTTCTGCTCATTACATTTTGGTATGGTCAAATTGTTAGTTTAATTTGTCGTAAACTAAGTTTTGGCAACTTTGGATGAAGTCATGAAATGAAACGTTCATCTTTGACTTTTTGTTAGTTTAATCTTTTGGAAATTTATGCAATGCAGGAGGTTGGATCTAACCATGCTCAGAGTGTTGGATTTTCGACAGACGGGTTTGCTACAACCCCCACCATGAGAAAATTGCACCTCATATGGGTGACTGCACGTATGCACATAGAAATATACAAATACCCTGCTTGGTGGGTCCCTTTTTCCTTCATTTAACAAAATTTTGGTTTCCATTTGTAACATATGTTAAAAGTTTGGTATTTGATTTTGTGGTGTAGGAGTGATGTGGTTGAAATCGAGACATGGTGCCAAAGTGAGGGAAGAATTGGTACCAGAAGGGACTGGATCCTAAAGGATGCTGCAACTGGTGAACTTATTGGACGAGCTACGGGGTGATTCTTGAGTTTTAATCCTCCCACTTCTTCATTCTCTTTGCATATTATAAGATTCATAGCATGAACTGACCCGAGGGGACTAATAATTCTCTACACACACTAGTCAACATTGAAAATTTGCATCAAAACTAGAAATTATTTACCAGCTTAGATTCTGTCCCGTGAATGATTGTTTTGCTAAGCCTGCTGCTCTTTCCTGACATATTTCCGTCTCAATTTTTATGTTTCTTTATGAATGTCATTGAATTTCTTCATTTCTGCTTTACCATTTCTAAATTAACTGCAATGATTTGTATAACTTGTGCTTATATATTTGTTAAGATTAGATTTATCCCAAAAGCTAATCTAATCTGGTATGATTGCAGCAAGTGGGTGATGATGAACCATGACACGAGGCGGCTGCAGAAAGTTAGTGATGAGGTCCGGGAAGAGCTTTTGGTCCACTTTCCACAGGAGCCTAGGTATTAGCTTTCCCTCACTTGAGACATAAGCATTGACTCATTTTATATCTTCAATTACATAATTTAATGGGATACTAAATAAAAAACGATGTGATTATACTCCATTAACTACATTACTTTGTCCAATTTTCAAATTTCTAATGCTTTCTGCTTCGTTCAAGTTGAGATTGAAGTTGGATGCCTAATAGCTTATTCATAAGTGCTTAAAAATTTGCTACCATGCCTTTGTGATTTCTGAGGCTCAAAAATGTTTTTGGTCGTGTACGTATTTGTGGCCTGAAAGCCTTGAAAAGGGTTGAGACCAATCTGAGAATTTTCATCAATGAATCTCTTTTCTCATACGTATACAAAAATAAATCCAATTGAAGTTTCTTCAGAAGGGATTATTTTGGAGTATAGAGTACAGTTCTAAACTAGTTGCTGATGTGTGGTGAAGCCGGACATGGCTCTGATTTCAACTGTGATGTTTCATAGTCGGCAGATGTGGTTGGACTGGAACCATTCTGGTAAACATTTAGAAGGTCTGTATTAACTGCATATTAGAACTTTTAATTTATTTGCTTTGGACGCACATTTCTCGATCAAAGTTGTCTGATGCTGAATAGGGTAGTCAATAGTATACATGCCTCGTGATGACTGAATCATCAGAACTTGATACTAATCTTTTAAGATGACGGACAAAATGCTCAATATTGTAAGCTTTATTAATCTCTATATTTTGTTCTGAGAAGTTTTGTGAAAATGCTGTAGAAAGCATATGCTCTGTCTTGCAGGATAAATTTCGCAACTCGGGAAAAGACCCTTTCGATTTAAAACTTGCATCAATAATAAAGCTAAACCTCATGCATTTCCTGATTTCCCTGTTCTCATTTGTGCAATTTGTTTTAAGCAAGGCATTGTTTCTTATTTGATTGATCCTCTTGCGGCCTTTACAGATTAGCATTTCCAGAGGAGAACAACAGAAGTTTGAAGAAAATTATCAAATTAGAAGATCCTGCTCAGTATTCCCGGCTTGCCCTTACGGTAAGATTATTTGGTTTGTCTAAGCACCGTTTAAAAAAATGGACTTCAAGTTTTTCCATAAAAAAAATGGACTTGAAGTATACCGGACCCGACTAGGCATAGGTGCCTGGTTGGCTGGTTCGACCAATCAATCAGGTTCGGTTTTTCCATCAGTGTATCCAAGTTTTTTTAATACTCTTTAAAACCCTTGTTGTGCTTCTAAAATTTGCAGCCAAGGCGAGCTGATCTGGACATGAACCATCATGTCAATTATGTCACCTACATCGGATGGGTTCTGGAGGTCAGCAGAGAGAGCATTCGAAAATTCTTTTGTTCTATTGATTTTTGCTGTCCAAATCGGTTGGTTTAACTCTTCCGGTTGATTTTGTAACTTGACCGATTTATACACATCTATTTGACAGAGCATGCCTCAAGAGATCATTGACACCCATGAACTGGCAAGTATCACATTGGATTATAGGCGGGAATGCCTACAGGACGACGTGGTTGATTCGCTTACCAGTACGGAACCAACAGCTGGTACTGAAACAGATTCAGAGCTTAAAGGGACATATGGATCTGCAGTGGCAAGAGAAGATGATGCAGACTGCCCTAAATTTTTGCATCTGTTGAGAGTGTCTTGTGACGGACAGGAAATAAACAGAGGCCGTACCGAGTGGAGAAGGAAGCCCTCGAGATGAGGTGCGTGGAGAAAGAAACCCTCGGGACGAGGAGATAATTTATAATATACCGTACCGTTTTGCGTATGCGTATGCGTATCGTCGAAGGATTTTGCCTTCAAATTCCGTCGTTGGAAGCCGTATTGAGGCGTGGAGTTCAAAAATCATAGATATGGAGGAGAACGTAGTGAAGATTAGCTCGAAACTGATGTTTGAAACACCCACATCAAAATCCGTTAATCTGTTGTGCTTTCCATTTTTCTTCCATCTTTTCATCACGACTGTGTGGTATTTACTTGACAAGTATTAATGTTTGAAACTCCCCTAGAATCTTGTGCTTTGTCTAATGTATGGATCAATTTTCAGCATAGCTATATTTAATTTTTTAAAATTTAGATTCTCGTCATATTCTTATGGTAAAATTAGAGAGAAAATGGATAATCGAAAAACAGTCGGGGGCTTGTGGATGATAATTGATTTAGGGTAAATTACACGCTTAGTATCTAAACTATTAATTTTAATTCATTTTAGTACTTAAACTTTCAATTTTTTCCAAACCATATCTAACATTTAGTACCTAAATAATGGGATACTAAAATAAAATAAAAATTAAACGTTAGGTATTATTTAAAAAAAAATGAAAGCTTAGGTACTGATAGTTTAGGTGCTATATGTATAATTTACCTTGATTTTAACCTGTGATTTTTCTTTTATTTTTATTTTTTAAATTTGTAAGATCAAATAAGATTTTATAAAAAAAATGACTATAATAAAATAGAATGGTAAGTTTAAGTCTTAAAAATTTAATTTTCTGAAATTTTTTATTTTATTGATTCACTTTCATTTCTTTATAATTTGATTACAAAATAAAAATAGAGGAAGCAAAAAGCACTGCGTGTCAATATTCATTGAATAACATTTTAAAAAAAAACGAATATAACAATCAACTTTGAAAATGATACAAAATAGAACAATTTTTTATCTTCAAATAAGCCTAATATTCCTGTTTGGTGTGTATTATTAAATGAGTATACCAATGAGAATTAAAGATGTTCTAAATACAAAGAGTTGATGCAGCAAACAATGAAAATATTCAATACCATCGAAATTGCAAATGGCTTATAGATTCAAATGCAATACGAAATAGGGAAAAGAAAAACTACAGAACGGTGGTCAAATTCTTGAACTCAGTTACAAACACCATTAACAAAAAACACACATCAGAAACAAATCTCACATAACACAAACCCGAACACGGCGATCAACACTTAAACTGATACTCGATAGAGATATACCTTATTAACGCACGCACGGGAGCTTCTTCCGTCCAGTGAAGCAAAACATACGTGCGGTTAGTCGCGAAAAATTGCACGCGTTCAAGTTGCTCGGGGCCAGCTCCTGATCCAATCAGTTATGGTTGAAATATTTCTAGTGATATCCTTAATATTATCACTCTTCAAAGCTATTACAATATCTTCTGGGTAACTTTCTTTTGCCTCCTCTAGCAGTACTTGAAAGATTTCACACTCTATGTTGTTTGAAAGCTTGGCACCCTCATAACCTCTGTCAGACAAAAAGAGTTCATGAGAAAGCCACGTAAATGTGCATGTCGGATTCGGTTGTGTGTACGACACAGGTGTGCCCGATTATTTCTAAGTTTTTCTTTCCAAGCATTCGGAGGATTCTTGGAGGGTGAAATTCCAACATCCAAATCCAAAATGTAACGGACACTAGTTCCAGGCACAAGTAGTTCAAGAAAAAGAAGCATTGGAATAAAAAAAAGAAATGAACTGGAAAGTCGATCATACAGCGGAACATTGGCACAATGCGAGTGTCGGATATGGGTATGTAGTGAACATGAGTATGTTTTGTTTTCCCTCAAGTTTTTCATGTATTAAGAGGGGGTTCTTTGAAAGTCATATGCTTGTCCCTATGTCCAAAAATAGGCCTGACTTGAAAACTGGTAAGAGTATTATGGACAGAACATCGGTACCTTTTACTCAACCGATCATACAACACAGTGTTGTCGGTTTGAAGAACTACGACAAGATCGAACCATCGCTCCGGAAAGAAATTACAACCATGATAATCTACAATGTTTCCCCCTTCTTCCATTACATCTTCAAGTTCATCACACACCTTCAGAATTCAATACATGGGAATCAAATGCAACAAACCACACGCTGAGCTTAAAATACAGAAAACTAGACAGCAATCAAAGGCCAACATACCCAAAGTATGTACCCAAAGTATCAGTATCCAACATATACTTCGAATCAAATATGATTCTCCAGATATATGAAACGCATAGGAAAATTTGAGCATCCAACATAAGTATTTGGCAATCCTTTCATACTTCATATATTATATATATACACGCATATATATAATTATGAATAGCAATAATCACAGTCAAACAAAGCCTAAGATTTCTTCAAGTTTCAGAACTGTTTATTGCTTAAATTAAATGTTATACCAAAAACTGCAGGTTGTTTTAGCTTCCTTTTTGCAGTAATTAAATTCACCAATATGAAGAAACCTTAAATTAATGATCTCAAATTCCATCAGTCAAGAAATTTAAAAGAATCAGTAGGTTATAAGGTTAGAGCATGAGGGAAGAATCGGAATTACGAGGTCTTCGTTGATGATGTGGCACTGGAGGTCGTCGTCCCAGCCGTCGTGCAAGTTTTTCTCCTTGACCAAATCTCCAATATTGATGTGGCGGAGATTGGTGGCCTCCGCCAGAGCAGTAGACGTCGTCGTTTTGCCGGTCCCAGGCGTTCCCGTCACCAATAAGTTGGGACTCTTTCTCTTGTTGCCGCCGGCAGCCATAGATAAATTCAGTTATTCTTAGAGTTGTTGCTAAATTCAAGGGCTTATCAGAGGTTTCTCACTTTCTCCCCGCTAAAAGATAAAACGCTTTTTCTTTTTTCTTTTTTCGTTTAAAGTAAACAAACGGAAACGGTCACTAAATTAAGCTAAAATGATTCTTTTAGTCACTTAAATTGTAGAAGTTACAGAATAGTTATTATATTTACCAAATTGTTATAAAATAATCATTGCATCCTATAAAATAGTGATAGATTTCAATATAATTAAGGGCTATTTATAGTAATTTTATCATTTTAATAATTATTTTATAATAATTTGATAAATTTAATTATTCATTTTATAACTTTAAAATTATAAATAACTAAAAGTTTATTTTTGTTTAGTTTGGTTATCATTAGTTTAATTTATTATTTTTTATGAAAATCAACAATGTCATAAATAAAGAATGTAGATTTTATTTGAATGAGACAGGCTTCAACTCAATCTTGTAAAATTATTAAAAAAACATTAAATTTGAATCAGATTGAGAGTTTTAAAGATACAATCAAATTATTTTTTTTATAGAAAGTCATTGATTTTATTAAAAGTAGAAAATATTTAAAATTACAATAAATATTTACAAGCATAATCGTAAAATTAAAATATAATTATGACTTTTTCTATTATCATTGAGATAAAAACTAGTCACCTATATTACATAAAGACCAAAGAAGGAAAATGTTAAAAAACTTAACAAAAAAACTCGAATAAAATAAAGATACGAACAAATCTGACTGCATCGGTAAACGAACCACAAAAGGAGATGAAGCTATTGAAATACCACCAACAAATAACAAATTAGAGTTAAGCAATGTGAGAAAACTATACACGAACACAAAAAGCGTATTCAAATCCATTCGATGGTCCAAAGCAGAGAATATTATCATGATAACAAATAAGCGTCATCTTGATAAGTCGTAGTGATGTCAAATCTAACTCCGAGAAAAAAAGATAAAAAAAACAACGGCAAGAAATTGTAAGCTACCAAAAGACAGAGAAAAATATCACCAAGGTAGAGATAAACATTTCATAAAGACACTGAACATGTCACAAAAACATAATTATTCTTATTATAAAACTAAAAAAAAGATAACCGGCGGACTACAATCAACATTAAAATTGATGTCGTCACCGGTTAAACAAAATTTAAAAAAAATTAAATAAGATACAATCAAATTAAGACATGTATAAGATAAAAAAAACATGATCCATAATAATAATAACAATGTAAAAGACATTTATATATTTAAGAATAATAGTTACAATACATCTATTTATATATTTAAGTTTACAAATAGTTTTTCTTCTATAGCATTGATTATTTAAAGTTATAAAATAGTTCCTCGATTATAAGGTATTATTTTATTAAGTTCTCTAACTATTAAAAGTTACAAAATAGTCATTCAATTATTCATATGTTTCAAAACCGTCATTTTCTATTAAAAAATTATTAATTTTATGAGTTTAACGTTAACTTGCTGATTGTGATATGATTAAATATATTTTAATGACCTTTCCTAACATCATCGTTGCTTTCAAGCACTAACTCGATGCCATAATGTTTCAAGCATTAATTCAACGACTAATGTAAACAAAGACTCGATTCTTAAAGTACAACTCAAACAATTTCAAGATTAAAATTTTATCATATCCTAGTGAGCAAGTTAACGTCCGACTCAGATGAAATTAACGTCCGACTCAGATGATCATCAGCTTTTTGACGAAAAATGACAAGTTTGGAATATATAAATAGTCACTTGACTATTTATAACTTTTAATAGTCCTGAGACTTAACAAAGCAACTCCTTATAGTTAACTATAAGATACCATTTTATAACTTTCAATAATTGAGAGACTAAATACAATAATACCTTATAATTGAGAGACCATTTGTATATTTTACGCTATTTTTAATTAAATTACTATTTTATGTAATAAAAATAATATATGAATGTGTACAAGAGTTAGTAAGTAGTAACTGCATGTTTAGAAATTGAATCAAATGATTTTTTTCCCCAAATTCGATTAGATTAAGTGATAGATGAAATAATATTATATTTAAATCAAATTTAGAAGAGCCATAATCTCATCCCTAAGTGCAATTAAGGTTTTGAAAAAGAATTCTTCAGGCCTTATAAAGTTGAAGTCGGCCCGTGAAAAAAGCCCGGTTTATTTATTCTTTAGAAATTGCATCACTTTAGAAGTTTTAAAATGACTAAAACGATTAGCAGCAATTGCTCATAATACTTCTGTGAAAGAAAAACAGAAACCAAGTTCACAAAACAAACCCACTGTTCCAAAACATCCTCCAAGATATTCGGTTACATACACAGATGAAAATATATTTCTATATAATATGATACCTACTTCTGCTGCTCCTCTCAAATCGGCATAGTTAATAGCTTCCGCATCCACCTCCGGTCTGGTGCAGCATCGCATCGATTTCATCTCCATCCTCCATCTCGAGCTAAACCGGAGACGAAGAGAAATAAAATCAATTAGAAACACAATTATGATCCAAATCCTAGAGATAATTTGATTTGAATTCAACGTGTTAAAAAAATCACTGATCGGATCAAAAGCCTATGCATGAACGCATATAGCATCACGGAACCTTGAAATAACAGTACAACCATCAAAGACAAGTAACGAGCGCCTTGGAAATACGCAAGGGGATTTACCTCATTGGGAGTCTGCTCTCCTCGGAGCCTCCGTCCATCGAACAAGAAAGCAATGGAGTTGGAATCCACTGATTGCCTATCGCAGTATGCATTCATTAGTTTCCTTAGTTGAGTACCTCGCTTAATCCTAAAGAACACTTCGTTTCCATCCTACAAACAAAAGATCGAAGAATAAAATCAGAAGAAGATGTAAATAAGAAAACAAAAGGGATTATCCAGACGACGCAAGAGCAAAACCTACCTGGCCCTTCACTTTGAGGTTAATGTGAGCAGCATCGGTCGGCTTCTTATCCTCCTCCGCCCCTCCGCCACCAACTCCGCCGGCGCCTGCCGCAGACATGTTCGATGTGCCGCTCTTCTCTCCGCCTTCGCTTCCTCGTGTGCGAAGCAAACCGTAGCGGAGGGAGCTTTGAAATAGAAGCGAAAGCGTTGGTTTTACGCTATATATAGAATTCTAAACCCTTAAGTGCACCCCGTTTTGTCAAGTAAAACGCGCAGGTTCCTCGCGTAGTGGCAATGAAGTAATATTGTTCAAAAAATATAAACTTACCTTATTGGTGACTGGATGTTCTTATGGAGCTAGTCTTGCCGTACTGTACCTGTCTTATTTGGGAAAAGAAGCGCGTTGAGTTTAACTGGATTCGATCATGGTTTGGATTCCGGGTTTGGGGAATTGGAACGCCGTTGGATTTTTGTTATTGCCTTTTCTGGGGTGATCAGAATGGACGGTCAAGATTGATTGTGTAGAGAATCGGTTAGAAAACTATGTGTGGGGTAGTGTGAAATTTCGGCGATTTTACTTTGTTTGGTAATTTACGATGTGTTTTTTTTAAGACGTGAAAAATACATATTAAAATTAAATATAAAATATTTTTTTATTATTCTTCTAGTTTCACGATTTTATCTTAATTAATTTGGATTAACGTATTACACATTTAATTTTAGTACGTGATTTTTTTAACATAGATTTTTTATATACACAAAAATTTTAAATTCAATATATTATTTAAACGGTATTAAATGGTATATTACTTAAATCGGTTTTTGTCGGTAATGTAAAATATATTTTGATGACTAGCTTGAATTTCATCCAGAGATGCTGTCACAGTGAGATTGGTGAATTTTTTTTTACCATTTTAAAATCAAATATATTATATTTTCTATGATTTTGAGGACAACTCAGGTAATGGAATGGAATGTACAAATCAATCATATCCCGGGAGAAAGTGAAGAGGATGATTATTTCAAATAATTAAATTTTATAAAATATATATTTAAAAATTAATTGATTGAATATTTTTTAATATTTTTTGTCAATAATAAATTTTAAATAATAACTAATTATAATTTAAAAAATGACTAAAAAATTAATAATTGACATATTTTATGGAATAGAGAGAATAAAACTGTTGCCATAAACACCCAATGTCGATAGCAGAATCAATTGAGCCCTTTGTGAATATTATCATGTCATCAACAAAAACAAGATGAGTAAGCTTGACCTTTGCACATATGGAATGAAATATGAAAGTGCCTTTGGTTGCAGCAAAGTTAAGAAACTTAGAAAGGAAGTTCATAGCTAAAACAAATAAGTAAAGAGATAATGGATCTCCTCGCCTAATCCCTCGAGTTCCTTTGAAATAACCTATTAATCCATCATCTTTAACATATATTGAGAATCTAAGAGTAGTGACACAAGCTTCAATCCTCTGCACCATCTTAGTAGGAAATCTCAGCGCCTTAAGACTCTACCTGTTCTTCATTGCTTCTAGGCTCAAGAACAGAAGAATGCCAACTAATGGTATCAAAAGCCTTACGTAGATCTACTTTGACAGTGCATATAGGAGATAATTGCTTGCTACAATATCCCCAAATTGATTCATGAGCCAGTAAAAAACAGACCAAGCAACCATGAAAAAGCCAGCTGAAAACCCATTAGGCTCAACTGCATTCCCATTCCTTTAGTTCATGCTTAGTTATTTTTCTACTTAAAACTTCCCTTAGCCTCGGTATTTTTAATTCATCGTGAAACACTTGTTTAATGAAGTCGGTAGAGTATTTCGAAACACACCTTTGCATAAGAAATTCTCTGCCTTGTCGTTAAAACCGACTCCATGTATAGAGGGTTACCAGTTGTGCTTGGAATGTGACTGAGTCCCCTTTGAGTTAAAAGCTCCAATGGCGGTCGAGTCAAGTGAGTACATACAGGGAATGCTGATCAGCTTCCACATCGAGGCAAAATTTGGGGGTTGGACGATGAACTGTACAAAAATGGGATGCTACCAGAGATGAATCATTTCATCAATTACCTCACCGGCTGGTCTAATAGCCATCTTCACTATAGAGTTGAGGAGGAAAGATATTAAGAGTTTCGAATTCATTCGTGTCAAAAAGCTTGCGCCACTTGAAAAGGATAATTAGTAACTATGAATCAAAGATTGAGCCGATTGTAATCAAAGGATAATTAGCTCGATATGGAATCTTAAAAAGTTAAGATATAATTGTTGTGTCGGGGCAAGAACCGACGACTTTAAGCTCATAAGACCAACGCTCTAACGAGCTACGGGACCATTACTTTAAAATTAATTAGTTTTACAAAAGTCCTTTAACGTTGGTTATTGTAAATTAAACAATACACGCTTCAAAAGCCTCTCAAATAAGAATCAGAAAATTGGTCCCGGCTGGGTTCGAAGCCGCTACCTTTGGCTCATAAGAGCTAACGCTCAAACCAACTGAGCTACGGGAACGACGTCTTCGTAATGTTTTTAATAAGATTGCTTTTCTAAATGACTGAAATTAGCTCACAAAAAGCTTCAAAACATTCTCCTTATCATCTCAAAATGAAACATTCTCCTTATCATCTCAAAATGTTTCATATTACACATTTTATGAGCTGGTTTTAGAAGTGGAAATGATAACCTGGCGAAGTTATGTATGTATTTGATAACGAAGTGGAGCTTAATCCTTGTTTTTTTTTTCTTACATGCATTCTTTTTCTAAATGTTTTTCATGAGCTCTAAATTTCAAACTACTTTTGATTTTAAAACATCCAAAATTCAAAATGAAATTTTAAAGTACAACCTTTGGGGTATTTGGTATATTATTAAATATTTAACCCAAATATTTCTTAAAAAATCATAAAATGCGTATTATATTCTTTTAACAATAGTAATCTTGTAAAGTATTAATACATCCCAATACATCATTTGATGAACTAAACGTGTTAATACAATTTTTTCAAGATTTTAAGCAATGTATTTTAATATATACCAAATGGCGTAAAGTAGCATTCTAATTACATACTTGATAACTCCGTAAAAAGATTATATTTCATGTCTTTTTATTTAGGTTATTGTTCGTTTTCAAGCTCATTTAATTGCATTTATCATACTTGTGGTGTAGTTTGCTAGTTGGTATTTAATTAGCTTATAAATGATGATTTGATGGGAAAAATGTAGTATTTTAGTGGTGATTTGTGTAGCTGAAGAAAATTGAGGACAATTGGAAAATGTCATGGCATTTTGAATAACATTTATGGGTGAAAAATGCTGCAGCAATATGGACAGTATTTCTGGGTGCAGAAAATGATAAATATCTAAAGATATTTTATTGTTGCTACCAGTTGTCACATGTGAATACCCTCTATCAACTGTCCAACCCACACATGTGAAAGGAATATTCTCTTAGGGTACAAAAGGAATTAGGGCACTCAACCCTAGGAAAAGAATAGTTTTATAAGATAAGAGAGAGAAGGTGAGAGGCAGCCACTCTTCCTTCTTCTCTTCTTCATCGTGGTGACCTACATTACTGGAGCTCCAAAGGGATAAAGCTTGTTGGCCTTTGAGAGAAGCAATGACACTTGGGTGGTTCACGGCAGTCCACAACAACTCTTGGCTTGGGAGTTTTCTTCCTTATTTAGTTGTTCTTTATTTTTTTCATCTGCAACATTTCCAGTTCATATACATGCTTTGTTCACTGTTTTATTGTTTAGATTTGTTAGGGCTTTCGAGAGGTAGCCTTTATCTATGTTTGATGCTTGATATCGAGAGAGTTAAGCTTAGATATACGTGAAAAATGGGGTTGAGCTAGGAAGTAAAACCCTAACTCGCTTTAGAGATAAGGAAAGAGTTTCAAAGACTAAAAAGTGTGGGGCTTAATTGATAATATCTTGTTGTAGCATTTTCACTGTCAGATTTCTTAATAGAGATGACCTAGAAACAACTTAGAAAAACACTTTTGAGCATCGTATTAATTAGAAAATGTTAAGCATTCATTGAGGAAAAAAACATTGGATTCCAATATAAACCCATCCATTTATCCATCTTGAGAGTTCCACATGTGTGAGGTCGTATTGTTGTCTTATCTTGGACACCCAATTCTTTACTTTACTATTTTCATCGCATTTCACACTCATCACACTTCAATACTTTTCCACAACATTTACATCACCTTGTTTATACCATTTTACATTTTATTGTCTTTAGTTTAAGTGCAATAACTTAACTTGGAAATCCCTCCAATCCTTGTGGAGACGAAACTCACTCACTATTATATTATTTATTCAATTGTGTATACTTGCACATATTTGTGTGCCATAGCATAGTACATCACACACACAACAATACTCATGAATCATGTTATATTGACATATCAACATAGGAGAGTATCAAACTTTAAGTAAATTTCTTTTTTATTTGTTTCCTATTTGATTTTAGGGTTTTGTCCTAATTAATTGGATTGACTGGTGTTGTGTACCTAATTTTGGTGGGTGAGTCTCCCAGTAGAGATTGTCTGCATACACAAGAACTCGAACTTGAGACATACTGAAAGATGTTTTATGTGAGCAGACTGAATGATTATGTGAGCATTAAAAATTAAATACACTTATTCTAATTGAAAAATATATATTATGTCATTTTATTATTATATTTAAAGATTAATTGTATTAGAGATGTTTTATATTTTTAAAATGAGGGTTGAATCTATAGGTTTTATAGATGTAAAGGGTGAATTTATTGAATTATATAGAATTAGGACCATACTGAAAGAATATACAAGTATTAAAGATTAAATGTATTAGAGATGTTTTATGTTCTTAAAATGAGGGTTGAATTTTTAGGTTTTGTAAATGTAAAGGGACAATTTACTGAATTATATAAAATTAGGATCAAATTGAAAGAATATGTAAGTATTAAAGATTAAATGTATTATTATCCCATGGAAGGGAATAAATTGAAAAGAAATAATGTATTGCGCCTTTAATCGGGAGGCCCAAAAGATTAAATTTTAGCTTCTCATCTAAGCCGAAAAGACAAAGGAAAGTCTCCTTTCTTTCCCTCTCCGAATCTAAAATCTCCGATCTTTCCTCTCTTTTCCTTCGGTTCCATCTCAGTGGGCGAGGAGTTGTTTTCCGATGGGGCAACAGTCGTTGATCTACGCCTTCGTGGCGCGAGGCACGGTCGTTTTAGCCGATTACACGGAGTTCACCGGCAACTTCACCAGCATAGCTTCTCAATGTCTCCAGAAACTTCCTGCTTCAAATAACAAGTTCACTTACAACTGCGATGGACACACTTTCAACTATCTTGTCGATAGCGGCTTCAGTAATCTCTCCTCTCTATCTCTCATTTTTATTAATTTTATTAATTTTTCGATTTTATTTATCGATTTCTCTGTGATCTGCCTTATTTGGCTGCTTCTTTGATCGACGACGAAGTTTTTTTCTGTTATCGTTGTTGTTGACAAATCAGTTGTATTCTTTCTATTTTAGGAATAAAAATGATTAAACTTGTAGTATTTGTAACTAGAAATTTAAATTTATCTAAGAGATTGAGTTTTTTTCCGATTAAAATGAGTTAAATCCGCATAGAAATATTGTTATTTAGGCCTTCTTAGCTACACATTGAAGCAAATAGCAGTGGGTCGCATTTCGATACAAAATCAAGTGCTAGCATTTTAGGATAATTGAAAACTAAAAACTTGAAATATTCTATAAGCAACCGAAATGCTATGATTGCACTTTCATATGAACTATTATTATGTATAAATGTGTGCGATAAATTAATCATAATTTCACATTCTTAGCCAAATATGATTTTAATTTTTCACTTTTGCTTGCTTCTAGTGGCCTGAACAGAGTAGATTTTAAGTTTTTGCTTTTTTTTTTGTCATTTCAATAAAGTGTACCATTGGCTGATTGTGTGCTTTCCAAATTTTAGTTTGAAGGCATTGTTTGCTTATACTTTATATTTATATATGAAAGAATTGTTAACATGTTATGTAGTTTGAGGATACAAGTACTTGTAGCAAATGATTAATGTCCTACAATATGATACAGACATGCTGATAGGTGAATTTTATTAGATATGAACATGATAATTGTATTATTATTATTATTGTTATTATTATTATTATTATTATTATTATTATTTAATAACTTGAATCTTCAAAAATCCCACCAGAATCAAATTGCTTATAGTTTATTTCATATTTGAAAGAAAAAAAATTTATTCTGTGTTCTGGGTGTGTTACTGTCCAGCCAATTCACGATCATATTTTGACCATGCCCGACTTTCTTTGTATTTTTTGATGTGTTATTACTATACGTATTTTTCCGTGTCAAACTTGCATTTGATACTTGGACACTCCTTTTAACAGAAGTGTCTTTGCTTCATAGCACTGGATGGTTTGGTCCATTAATGTTTTGTTCATACATTGAAAGACTGAGAGCCTAGGCATTCATTTCAAATTGGGTACATTTGGTGCTCACATGATGTTTTCTTGTTGCTTCACAACTTGTGTTGTTGCATCCTTTATCATAAACACAAGGTTACTTCATTATTTGTTTGAATTGACCTCCTTCCTCTTTGCAGCTTATTGTGTGGTTGCTATTGAATCTGTTGGCCGACAGGTTCCTATGGCATTTCTTGAGAAAATTAAAGAGGATTTTACCAAGAGATATGGTGGAGGAAAAGCTGCAGCTGCTCCTGCAAACAGCTTGAGCAAGGAGTTTGGGTATTTTCTTTTCCTTTACTTTAAAGAGTAATGTTATCCGGACTTGAGTTTGGGTGTCAGATGCAAGTATGTGTCCGTTACACTTACGGGTATGTCCAATTTATCTTTTGTTCTAAAATCCAGGTATCTGGAGGATCCTTCCCTTCTTGGAGGGTCATATTCTTGTACCCATGTACATATATACTGGATATGTTGGACACAAGTATTGCTTGAAAATGAAGATTTGGAGCAATAATGTTAAAGAGAATGTCTTTTTTTTTGGTTATCAAGGACATTGATAGCTACGTTTATTATATCTTTAATCTAGGCCAAAACTGAAGGAGCATATGCAGTATTGCATTGATCATCCTGAGGAGCTTAGTAAGATTGCCAAGGTGAAAGCTCAAGTTTCAGAAGTCAAAGGAGTTATGATGGAAAATATTGAGAAGGTAATTATTGACTTATTGTCATCTTTCATATTTTTTTTATGCACATGCTAACATGGACTGTCGTGTGGTGTGAGGTTTTTAAGTGAAAAAGTCCGGCTTGACAAAAATATGGAAAATGATAATCAAGCGTTCGGGATCTTTTTTTGTTTGTGTTTTCTGTTAACATTTATTTTGCAGGTTCTGGACCGTGGCGAGAAAATTGAGCTTCTGGTGGATAAAACAGAAAACCTTCGCTCCCAGGTCAGCAAATGAATATCATGTTGTTCTACTTTAAGCAATATTTGCACTATGGATAGAACCATATCCGGAATTGTGTTAGGCATATGAAATCTACGAAAAATGAAAAGTTGAAACAACATAACATGTAGGGCAGTAATTTGTTTTGTTGTTTGACTAATTGGTAAAATATGAAAACAAAACTGTTAATGTTAGCTTCACAAGGCATCTCCATGGTATGAATGTTAAGTTAAATGTGGGATCCTTGAGCACATGCGATTCAGTTTTGCATTTCTTTCATTTAAAAGCTTTTATCAATACTAGTTCTCAAATATTCAGGAGCTAGCCAAATTGTTCAATTAGTAAACCAGAATATCTCTTGCATGATTCTCCTAATGGTGCTTCAAAATTATAGATTATAGATAATGAGGGGTATTTGTTGTTTTTTTGGGCATTGTAGGCACAAGATTTCCGGCAGCAGGGAACCCAGATGAGGAGAAAGATGTGGTTTCAAAACATGAAGATAAAGCTGATAGTTCTTGGAATCCTGATTGCTTTGATTCTCATCATTGTACTGTCCGTTTGCCATGGCTTCAAATGCACTTGACGTATTGTTTGTCAACTCTATATCCCACTGCCATCTCATAGATCGCAATTGCTGCAGTAACAAGTAATGTATGATGCTTGTAGTGAAAGTTTTCCTCTTCTTCTTTTTTTTTTTGAGTTACATGTGCTTAAAGATCTAGCCTATGTCAGAAGACTTTGTGCATGTAGAATATAAGTTTGAATTTTGGATTCTTTTTGAATAGTATGTTGATGTGTGGATACATGGTATGTTGGGAAATTGAAAAAAAAATGTGTTTTAGGAATAGAAGGAAGTATTTTCTAGTTATTCTAAAGTATTCGAGCTTTTGCTGAAACTCGTTTTATGATCTAAAATATATTTTTCAACTCGACTAGATCAAATAGTATTCGAGTTAGAGAAATCGATGGTCATACGGGAAAGTATCAAAATCGAGCCTACAAGAAGTAGGCTGGAATTGGGAACACCCTTGGTGTTATGAATAACGGGGAGTGAAAAAAAAAAACGAAGACGTCATGTTCGTTTTTGAAACCATCTATCTATATATAACAGCTTATGCTGCCAACTCTAGTAGTTAATACGCTCTTAAATTTAATCACTTATAACGAATATTGTATTTTACATTGAATGATAAGTATTTTTTAGAAGAAAATTATTTAGGTTGGGATTAAATATTGGGATGGATAACTTATCTAAATTCAAAATAATGGGAATTTATACTAAAATTCTGGGGGGTATATACCTTCGTCCTTGATTGTATTATTTATACTTCTGGATAATTGGCTGCAAAACCGCAAATATGCACGATTTTAAATTATTACATGAATAATTTATGTAATAACCGAAATACTAAAATGTTTTGTCTTCCATTTTTGAACTCTCCATATTCCTTTTTAAGCCAGTCATGGTGCTATGTTGCTATTAAACATTCTTAAATTACAAGCACGTTTAATTTTGCAATCTCTCAAAAACCCTTCAATTCCCTCCCCCGCGCCAAGATTTAGCTATATAATCAAAGGTAAAACCGAGTGTTCTTATCAGAAAAATATTGAGAAATGCATCTTCAAACAATGTCCTCCTTCAATGGCTTCCTCCTCCTCGTTGTCACATTCGCAGTCATTTTCATTGCGCACGGACAGGGTTTGCCTCCGGAGTTCACGAGGTGGCATGTTCACGTAGTTAACGGATTGAGCGATTGCCGAACCTTGTTCGTCCATTGCAAGTCCAAGGATGATGATTTAGGTGGCCGGTATCTGGATCCTGGAACCGATTTCAGTTGGAGTTTTCGACAACATATCTTCCGTCGAACCCTCTTCTGGTGCTACATGAGCAAGGATGGGGCACACGCCTCGTTGGAGGTGTTCTGGCAAGACGTGCTTTTGTTCCACAAGTGTGCATGGAAAGATTGCATTTGGATTGCCAAGGATGATGGTGTTTATATCAAAGATCTTGCTAGAAATACCGACGAGTTTCGTCGGGGATGGAAACCAGGACTGCTCCGAGACTGAGTTCCATTTTTGTAAACAGCTTTATTACGGTTTCTTTAAGCTGTTCCTATAAAAACATTGCTAATAAACACTAGATCTAAGGTTAGTCAAATGCCTTATCTTCTCTACTAATAATTTCTTTGGGCTTAGCGACGGTTACTAAAAAGCGTCAATAATTATCATGGTTTCCAAGGTCATGTTTATCTTCCTCCTTATATCTGGCATACATGTTAAACACACACACACAAACACACACACACATATATATATATATAATCACTTCATGTAATTTTCTACATCTAGCTACGACAACTTAAGGATTGCGTGATTGCATTTGTTAAAAATAATCGGATCAAGTGTTAAACTTTTTAGTATGCTCTCAACCATTTGATAATGAACATTTTCTCACTTTGATGCAGCTACTGGTGTTCGAAGACGTGACCTCTAGGAACAACTATGATTCTTTTAACCATTTAGATAATTTGATTCAAATTCTAATACTATATATAAGATGAAAAACTTATATCTATAATAGATTTTAACTCTTGGACTACCATTCTCTTTTCCGATGGGAATTAACACCCGTCATCTCTCTAAGTAGTAACATTTTTCTCACTCAATTTCATGATGCATTTGTCACAGTTGTTCATCCTTTCTACCACCTATGTGCTTGACGTGAAATTGGGCAGTTAAAGAACCGTTAATGTAGTTATTATCATCTTCTCAAAAGACATAGAGTGTGAAACATTATCACTTTTAAACTCTATGACCTCTCTTTTCTTTTTCAAAGCGGGATTAATGTCCACCACCTCTCCAAGTGTGACATTATCCAGACTAATCAACCAATATATTAGATATTAGTCGTGATCGTGATACTACAATTTAAGTTTTTTGAATTTATAAGTTTATTGAACTAATTTAAAATTAAGATCAAATTGATAAAATGTGAAAGTTGTAATAATGACTAAATTTATAACTACATCAATTTTGTTAACTGTGACAAATAATTAAGTGTTTTGATTAATAAGATTAAAAGATCTGTGGCAGGGTGATCAAATTGAAATCCTCCCATAATTAAATAATTAAATAGTGATGGATATAATTTACCCTAAAAGAACAACTTACATTTAGTAGTAATAAACTATACTCAACAGTCAACGTATACAACTTGTAACTGTTGAGTCTGTGGTCCTTTTCTCGCCTTATTTACTTCACAAAATCCTGAGTTTTTAATGTTTTTTGGTCATATATAGGTGAAGAGATACCCTTTGAATATAAGGAAAAATACAATGCAAATTGATATTACAATTTAGTATTTTTTTATTATTATTCGATCACTGAGAGCTGTTTCTATATCGGATTAGATTGTAATAAGGGGAACGTTATTGGAATGTCATAAAATTTAGGGACAAATTTAGCATGACAATTGTAGTTTCTGAAGATTAATTTGAAATGTTCAAAAGTTTAGAGATTAATTTAGAATGAAAATCATAGTTTATGAATCAATTTTAATTAAGAGTAATAGTTTAGGGATGTATGGTAATTTTTGTGTAACTTTCACTTGCTTTTCCTCTATAGAAAAGGACCCAAGGGCACAAGCAAATTGATATGTATGAACATTTTACAGCAAACATGAATCCCACCCCCAATGTTAGCAACATCTTGCTGGTTTTGGCTCTGTGCATGGTTCAGTCACTCGTCGCCTACTCGATCGTGAACAAGTTCCACGTTCACGTCATCAACGTGTTCACCGGCACTAACGAGACGCTCGAGGCTCACTGCCGATCCAAAGACGACGATCTCGGACTCCGCTACGTCCCCGTCCATGGCGAGTTCAACTGGACGTTCCACACCGATTTCTTCTCCTGGACCAATTACTCCTGCCACATGTGGTGGAGCGGTGTCAAAAAGTAACTCGACGTTTTCTGGGTGAACGATAAGTTCTTCACGGAGGAGTGCGGCGGGAACAACTGCCGTGATGTCGGAAAACGACGGGGTCTATTTGTTCAGCTACCAGCATAGGGAGTATTGTTTGAAATATAAGTGGGATCCTTGGAATGGTGAACATGCAGGGAAGAAGATGAGTTAAAAGCTGCTGTAGTTTTTTAATATTCTTAGTGGAATAAAAGGAAAGTTTAATAGATCAATAATTTTATTGCAATAAGATTTTAATATTCAATTATTATAAAACAATTAAATTACATGCACTTTTGGTTATGCAGTCTCTCAAAACTCTAAAATGTTATTGAAGCAAATATAAAGTCGACGAGAAACAATCATGATTTGTTTTGTTATCTTATTAACAATGGTGAACGGATGAGTGACTAATTTGTTATAAATTGATAATATTATTGATTAAATTGTTATTTTAAAACATTAGTACTGAAAAGAGAAACTTGTTCAAATTTTAATGACTATTCATGTAGTTTACCCATTAAAAAGTTGTAATTATCCGCAAAATGTCGATAAACGCAGTTTCGATCTCATTACTTCCCAAAATCAAATGATCGAAACGCAAATTGAAGTCGAAATCGATTGAAAAATCATAGGGAATGCAGACGAACTGCTGCCACGTATCGTTTGCGTTTGTTCTAAAGTTGTTGAATTCTCTCCAAGCTTTCGTTGGAGTATCGATTGTTCTCTACTCGATATGGATGCTGGACCAGTGGAACCATCACGTCCCAATTTCTCCGCCTGCTTTAGCGCCGTCACCGTCTTCTTCTGTACCGGATTCGACACTCTTCAATTCGGGACCGGAGATTGGAGCTCAAGCAGCTAGGGTTTTCGACGGTTTAGCTGTCGGGTTGAGTGATGGTGTCGAGTTAAACTTGAGCTCCGTTGAGCTACCTGCTCCCTGGTATTTCCTCCATTTAGTCCATTTTTAAAAAGAAATCATATAATTGGACACTGCATTAAATGCTATAAACAAAATTGGAAGCAAAGAAGACGAACTTTAATTGTTTGTGAGGGGTTTTTGAGAGGACATGTTAATAAACTCACTTTAAGACTTGTATATCTGGAAACCTTTGATCATGTAATTTAATGATTTGTACTTAGGTGAAGTTCCTTAAGTTTTCCAATAAATCGTGCCATGCATCAAAATTGCTAGCTCGATTCTAGTTGTCTTCTGTGTTGTTTCTTTTACCTCTTAATATTTAGTTAGTAATTTACCATTACACCACTGGCTAGTTGATTTGGTGATTTTTTTTCTTCATAAAAAAGGTTTATAAAGAGTAAAGTTTGTGATTATTGCATTAGATGTTGGTTGTTTCTTGCTGCTATTTGATGTGTCTCTTTCAATTCATTATTTCACAACTATAGAATGTCTGCTTATTCTGGTGCTTTCGGTTAGACATTTGGATTGCAAACTTTGATGATTTTCTCCTTTGTTTCAGGTTCATATACTCTTTTATGGGAATAGGAATCGCGCTATCTTGCGTTACTCTCATCGGTTGCATAGCTGCTGAATCTGTTAATGGATGCTGCCTTTGTTTTGTATCCTACCAGGAGTCTTTACATTTCTTTTTCTGGTGAAATTGGCTTAAAGATAAGTTAAAACTGAAGTGATTGTGAACATCTCCACAGTAGACATTAGCTATTTTTAACGAAAAAAGCTAATTTCAGACTATGGTTTTCTATTTATTGAAGCACAAAACTCAATATGTCATCTTCTACATTTTCACTTTTAATTGTGTCTAAAACTAAGTACTTGTTAAATTTATTGACAAAGAAGAACTTGGGGATTTTAAGTTCTATATCCGCAGCCAAGTATCCAACGGACTGCTTTCCAGTAATGTTTTTCCTTGATAAAATTGCCAGTATACACTTCTCAAAATTGTTTTGATTCTAATAGAAGCTGCTTTGGTTGCATTTATTGCAATTGACCGTAGGTGGGAGAAGGTATATTTTTCTTTTTGGTACATTGGGTTTAGCTTGAGATGCTATGTTTTTGATCATGTGCAGGTTACCATTTACAGCTAAATACCATATTTTATGACAGGATCTTCCATTTGACCCAACTGGGGAACTTGATAGCTTCCGATCTTTTGTCGAAGACAACATTGATATATGTAAATGGGTTGGCCTTGGCGTGGTCATCATTCAGGTATATCTTTTAACCCATGTTTTCCTGCAGTTTATGACATTAAACATTCTAAATTAATTGTTTGCAGTTATCAAAAGAAATGTAGTAACTAAATAAGTACATACTTTTTTTGACCTGTTGCATTGCACTTCATCAGATGAAGGTTCTACTGAAGTTCATTTATGATGCAATGATCTTCTGACCATGTTTTGGAAAAGTATTTATTTTGGGTTTCAGCTTTTGTAGCACTGAACTGTTTTTTTAGTGTGTGTATATATATATATATATTTGTGGTAACTAAATCCAAAGGCTAGATAGAAAGGATCTTGTTTTCTGTTAGGAAATAAAAGATAAGTTCTCACCTAAATGCCCAATAAATCTTCTGGTTTCTTTACTCTAATCAATATTCCTTCAATGTTTCAGGCATTAGCTTTGCTAGTAGCAATAATTTTGCGGGCAATGGTCTCTGCTAGAAGAAGAGACATCGAAGAGGAAGATGATTATGAAAGTGACCGAGGTAGAACTTGGGAGCCACTCCTGAACCCTCAGTCTAGCCACTCATCTACGTCGGCCAAGGGTGATGGCAGGGAAGCACAATCTAACATGTGGGGTTCACGAATGAGAGAAAAGGTATCCCGACTTTCAGTGCTTATATAACTCATCTTTAGTAGAGAAAGATGGCTGGCACGCTAGTTATATGTGACGGTTCACTTGTTGTTTTATTAGTTTATTCTGTATGATGTGAAATCCTTTATGCGACATGCCAACATCTAATTCGAGATTGAATGATGATCACTGCCTGTGGAACTGGTTCCTTTAAGTTGTCTTCATACCAAAGTGGATCTCATCACTGGCATGCTACGTGCGAGTTTTTCTAGTAATCTATTGAAGTATTTGGTGATCAGGTGGCAAATTATTGCTCCGACTCACAGCCATT